TAATTACATATATATATATAGACATATGAGTACACAAAACTCTCCTTCTCGCTCTCGCTCTCTCTCTCTCTCTCTGTCTCTCTTTCTGTGTCTCTCACTCTCTTCAGTCTCTCCAGTCTCTAGATCTCTGTCTCTAGATCTCTCTCTGTCTCTCTTCTCTCTCTTCTCTCTTCTCTCTCTCTCTCTCTCTCCTCTCTCTCTCTCTCCTCCTCTCTCTCTCTCTCTCTCTTCTCTCTCGACCCCTCTCTCTCTCTCAGATGAGCACTGTCTCTTCAACTAAAATAGATCAACCACGGTGGAACATGAACATGAAATACCGTGGTGGCCTACCTAGTGCTAACCATTCCTTTCTTGTCTTTCTGCCCTTCTTCAATGTTCTAACGTCTGCGTCTGACAGCCTCTAAATCATCCTGAATTTATTTAGAATATATTACAATTACATACAACATGTAAATACATATTAATCCGATACCATGCTAGCATGATATGCAATGCGTGACAGAAAAACGCTTAATAGCCTGAGATGTTAATATTGCCTACGTGAACTTGAATAATCCCGAATGCTACATATAGTTACATAAACTCCACCAACACCATGCAATATGAGAGACTCATCCATCTTATCAAGCTTTCGATCTGTGATCCATTGTTCTTCCACCATACTGCTGCAGCTTTAGAAGTTGCTGCTCATTGCTGCTTACCAGCATTAGACGGCCATATTGGGACGTTAAGCGTTGGGGTATGATAAAATCCTGTCCTGCAGGAAAGTACAAAAGTTTGACAAATAAGTATGCTATTCGTGAAAATGTCCCGAAATAAGCTCTCAACTGAGAAGTGACACATTCCAGTCACACATGCTATGACATCAATTACGCCCACGGAGGTGATCAAGTCCATCAATGGGACGATGTCCGTGTCGCCACGTCCAGTGACCCAACCAGTGCAGATTGCCGGTTCATCAGAGGCTTCCAAGCTGCCTAGTGATGCTTCCCCCACAAACTCGACTATTACCACATTTCGAGTAAACCTCACAGGAATTTGACGGGGTTTATGCCTCTTACAAAGGACCGCATCAATCATTCCTGCCATCACTCCTGACCGGGTTACTCCAGCCACTGCATTCAGGCCACCAGAGTGTCACCATGATGTGGCTCACGGGCAGAGTGTCATTCTTCTGCCGGGCAATTCTCCTGCCATCCACTGAGATTCACTGGGGCACGCTGCCTCTCCCTGCAAACTGCATGGCGCCTTCACAGCCAGGGCGCCTCCCAACCGCCGCCATGTCAGCCTGATTATCCATTCAATGTATCCGGCCGCCTGACTCCTTACCTACCGTGGTCGGCAAATCGTACCTGGTTGTGGTGATCGGCACAGCAACTGGTATCGTGTTGAGAGCCGCCAATGGTGCCACAGGTACTAATTGGCTGCCCTGCGCGCGTCTTCGTGCATTTTCGGCATCAGCGAAGAAGCTGTCATCGGATTGGTGGCCCCGAATTGCGGCAGGGCCACCCACAATTTTCCTACTGACGGCGGGCGATGAATCACCGAACCTCATTCCGTTGCCTTCCCCCATAGCACTTGCCGCACAGAGCGTGGGCGGTCAAGACTTGTCAAGCGCCTCCTCCACTCACTGACAAACACTGCGTCTGAGCGCTCCCTTAACACTGATGAGTTTCAACGTGCCATTTCTCCAGTAACCGCACACGCCTGACCGTGATACACATCTCTTCCCCCACCATCGTGTGGCTTCGGATGCCCATCAGTGACTTCATACCCATTCACCGCCGGGAAGTACCAACCGCCACAGCACGTTGGCGCGAGACACTCACAGTCCCGGAAGAGGCTCTGCACTAACAAACACACGCCTATCAGAGCACACCCGACTCCTCTCCAGCCACTGTCACAGCGTGAGAAACTAGCGGATCGCCCAGTCGCCAGTGGCGGATTAGGAAAATCGACGGGCCGACTGCTGCTCGTGTAGCTGGTCCGGCCGGGCGACTAGATAAAAAAAAAAAAAAATTCGCCGACACAGGAAATAAACGAAAGTGTCGAATGACCACTGTAGCTCACCACAAAAACAGGACACAAATGGGAAGTGGAAAAGTGAGAGTGCAGAAAAGTCAGTTTTAATTGAGCAACCATCAATCATACATTATAGGCAAACGAAGAGTATATATGAGAACTTCCATTATATACTCTTGATAATGTATCATGCTGTTATTTTGGTATGATGAAATAATGTTTGAGATTTGTGAAAGTTCTGAGAACTGTGGCGCTGGGGCTGATGGCGTTTACACCTAAATGATCGCCATTTAACGTTCTTATAATATGTCAGATTTAGTGCACTTGCCCTAAAAGCGGAGCTC